GGCGGGAATAATCGCGAGTTATCATTATTCGCGATTGACTCGTTGCTGAATCATGAATCGCATTCGACTCGCGGGGAGTTCACGGTCACGCCGACGAACGCGATCGAGCGAGATAATGTTTTGGCTACGATCGGCGCCTGTTATCGATGAATTCAAGTGGATTATGCAAACGGAAGTGGCAACGGGCCAGAGTTCGCATTGTTTGTCGAGGCGCCCGATCGAGATGCATTTCAAAACAACGAGATCGTTATAATTAGAATCCCACGCGAACGCAAGATCGAGCGGTAATATAAATACGTCGCGGAGCTGGATTGATCAGATTCGCGATTTCTTCGGCGAGATCGGGAGTGGTCGCGCGGTAGAAGGTGCGATTAATACCGAGCGGCTGCGCAAGTTTTGACGGATCTCTCGAGGATGTGACTGATTTATGGCAGCGCTTACTTTAAACATGTAGATTACTCGCATGCAGAGATTAGGAATATATTCGTTCGAGTTTTTCTGCTAACATGTGATTTCATGTAGATACGAATTTAAATCGTCTAAAACAAGGTTAACATTTACCTTCCTCATCTAACTGCGAACAATAAAGTGATAAAGATGAAAAGCTTTACACATGACGGTCTTACTTCCGTTTCTTATCTGTAATGACGAAAATTTTGCAAACGTAAATCTTCCGAGTAGATTGTCGTCGTTGCTTGTACGAGCTTCGATACTCGGCATCGAAAATGAGCACAAAATCTTATTTTTCGGTTTTTTTTTTCATCGACGCGGTATTTTTTAACACGAACGACGTGCGACGTGTAAATTATATATATTATTTGGCTTATTGTATTATCTTTTGCGCGACCGTGTTTTAATTCCTCGACGTTCCGCGCGTAAATGCAGCCGCGGACGATTGACAGGATAATACACGTCGGGGCTCTTTATTACTTCCAGCACACACAGCAACAGATTGCGTATGATCTCGTTTTCCTACGGCAGACAGCAAAAGAAACGGAGTGGCACGTGGCGTGGGGAACAATCTTCGATATTCAATTATTTTATTATTTTCTTCAAGCAGAAAATGCAACGGACGCGAGCGCGCGCGTATACATCGTCACTATCGCTTGACACGAGTTCGCGCAAAAACGAACGATTCGCTCGGATTCGCGGCGCGCTTGAATATGCGCATTCGCAAAGTGTACCTTTGCAAGCGAAATTAGCAAGCGGCATCTTAACAATGTTAATACGTATTAGCGCGTCGCCGCTAAGGAGCGCATGTTGACGCCAATGAATAATTCGTAAGGCGTTGATTAGTGCCCTGATTGTTTCCTCAATCGAAAACGCGTTTATCCGCGATTACAATCGGATTGTCGGATCGGATAATTCACGCGGCGGTGGCGGCGATGCGTGTTCCGTCGACGACCGAGTGAAACGACGACGACGACGACGACGACGACGACGATGATGACGACGACGACACGGAGGGTTAGCGAAGTGTTGAACCCCGACGGTGACGCGTGATCACGGGATGCGATCCGCGTCGCGAATCGCTCGCAGCTGCAATTCGCGAAATGGAGTGCACGTGTGCGCACCCGCGCTCGAGAGAGAGAGAGAGAGAGAGAGAGAGAGAGAGAGAGAGAGAGAGAGAGAGAGAGAGACGGACGTGGATGATCGCCTAGACGGAAACAATCCGTAAAGTAGTACACGCCGGTTTCATCGTCGACCGCGCACGACGTTTATTAATAATGGCGATGCGTATGGCGTGAAATCTTCCCCCTCGTAGGCTCTCTTCCGTCGGGCCCCTTTCGCTCGCGGCGTTTCGTGCCGATCTGTCTGTTCGGACGCGAATATATGGGAATGTGCAAAGACAAGCTGCTCGCCTTGGAGCTCGGCAAACATACAATCAGCGAGACTCGCTCGCGATGGATCGGCCGTTTTTGATAAGGAAGGAAAAAAAGGAACACGTTCTCTCTCGCGCCGAGAACGAGACGTCGCGTCGGTGACGTTACGTAACCCTCGCACACTATACGTCCTCTCGGGAATTCTCGGGAAGCCTTAAAACGGCGAATCCGCGAGACGGTATATGACGGCTAATGTATCTCAGGTATTCATTTGTGCGGTTTGTATATGTGCGCATGTATATTACGGAGACAATGTCCTGACGCGACGTTGTAAAAAGCTAAAGAGTCAACCGTCTCGGGCTTTTCTCCCGCGTGGCTCCGGTCGCGATCGCAAATCGCCGCGGATAATTTGCTCTCAAGTGACTTAATTAATTCGTTGCACTCTAGGCATTGTCGGTTAGCGGCGGATTCGTCGTGATCGCCGGCTACGCGCGAATGTCATAAACTTACGTAACGCTCCGTAGCAGAATAAAACCGCGGAGCGCGTAGAGCGCGTAATTGTACGACTCGGGCGACGAGATTGCAGAAAAAGTTGTTTGCTCGTGATATTTGACTGGCGGTACGATTGTATATTGTACGCGGGAGGAACAATTCCCACCGGTGCGACTGAATTTTCCATTGTCCCGCCGGGTTAGAACCGGGACCGAGAGCGGAAAAGTCGGCTCTCGGGAGCAGAAAGATTTCCGCAGCGAGCTTTTAATCGGTCAATGGTTTACAGTTATCTCGCTCGAAGTTTTAGCACGAACGGACGAATTTTTGTCGGTCGCGCTTACAGAGATGTCGTCTCTCGGCACCGAATTTTCGTCGCGATATCGCATCCCGGTCACGCGAACTGTGGTCATTTTCTCTTTTGTGCGACGTTGAATTTTGGCGAGATACGCGATACGTCGTCATCGCTGTTTTCAACACTTGCTTGCACGATACCGTTCGAGATATTGATCATCCATTTGATGGGACTCTCATAGGACAAGCGTGTCGTCGGTGCGATATCAGTTTACGCGTTCGCATTGTTCATCAGTGTAATTCTTGGGCGATTCGCAGCACTCGATCGATCGCGTTAGTGATAACGATGTTGATTATCTGCGTGAGGATGATATTTTTCTCAAATAATGCGCTGACTTGATTATGCAAAGTACAAGGTCGGACAATCGCGCAAAATTTGCAAAGTCTGTTTTATTCCTCTATTTTTCTGCTTTTTTGTTTTTTAATCTTCGCCGGGGGAAACGTCGTTACTCGGCAAATCATATTTTTGTGGTTAACGATATGCAGTTAACATTTGCAGTTTCGATCGTGTTATCGTCCTGCCGCGTTTCGCAGGACTAATCGGATTCACAAACGTATTCGAAAGCGCGCACGAAACTTTATTGCGTCATTTATCGCATTATATCGCATTTATTTCCGACTTATTTTCCTATTATTTTCACGCACAAATTATCAGTCGACGAGCCAATGATGTATTAGGAAATCGTTCTGTCGCGCGATGAGTACAAAGTTCACACGTTCAAAAGTTGAGATCGACGTTCGCGTTCACCAGATAAGATAATAGTTATCACATGGACTAATGGGTGAGTCCAACTTGATGTCCATCTCGGACATATCGGGCTTATTTTGCTTTTTCTTTACATAAGTACTACGCGTTCGCACGAAGGTTTCCGAACAGATCTTTTACTTCAATATTCTTTTTTTTATTTCCATATATATATTATACCATACGTTCGACTTTTATCTAACGAGTTTATAAATCAAGATCACAGGGAAGGAATAATTTTGCAATTTTTCATTCGTCGTTACGTAATTTCGAAATACTACCACATTACCAAATCGCGAGAAATGGCGACGAGATGGCGACTGATTTTCCCGTTTGACTTGGCAATCGACACTTTTATCCTATCTTCGAGTGATCCGTTATTTCGCCGACGACACGTCGAATGCACGAGAAACACGCGGACGTTTCGCGAACGCGAAGACACCTACGGTGTACGTCGCTATTGTCGATCGTCGCAGCGATTAATAGCAGCAGAAAGCGATCGTCGGAGCGTTCAATCAGCGCGGTGTCGAATCTTTTTGCGCGCGTTCGTTAAATGCATTGTCGAGGACGATGTTATCTACGTTGTGGGAATGTGGGTACACCGCGACTTATTTCTACGTGCTTAAGAGAAGCGCATGTGAGCGCTCGTGAAAATTGGGTCAGTGACGTTAATTTGGACACGCGCGCTCGAGCAAAGTTGACCAAGGTCGCAATATGATGTTACGCAGAAAAGATATCAGTATCTCGTCGCTTGTAACCCTGAAACGAACGCGCGCGCGACTAGTATGGGCGTTATGCGGGACAATGATTTGCACTAATTCCGATAATTGTCGAGAGTGAAGAGGGCTCGTAACGTGAGAACAGGCGAATCTGCCGAATCACTGGATACACGACGCGAGGGACAATCATCGCGTGAAAATAATTGCGGTAATAGTTCGACGAAAACACCGCGATCGTTTCTACGATACGATGATACGACCAGAAGAAAACTCGCTACTACTAATGATCATCGTTTCGATGGCTGCTGACTGTTGATTTGGCTCGTTCGTGTCTTCTTACTGGTCTCTACTAATCTAGTCGATGAAAAATAACATCGCTCGCGGCGAACACGTCGGACACGAGTTATTATTAGTTGTCCATCGTTGGTGTTATCAACGCAGTTACAGTGACATGTAGACGCACTGGCTCGACTTTTGCGATCCGACAAACGGACCCGCGACTTCTTCGGCGCGAACGTTTCGGTGCGAAGCGATTCGATCCCCGTCTCTCCGAAGCGACAACGGCGTACATTTAGCCCGTGCGTGTTGTGTATACTATGAGTATCACGTGACGCGTTCAGAAACAAGCAGCATTATTCACACACGTCCGCTTTAATTATATCCGGCAATTTATAAACATTGAGTGTTGGCAGTGTAATCGATCGCGCTGGCCCGAGCAATCGGCGCGGTGAATGAAGGCTGGCGCGAGAACGCGTTGTCAGTGACGTAAACACGCCTTGAATAGCCAGAGCCAGCGGGCGAATCTGTCGTGTCGACATTGCGACGTGGATAAACTCGTTGGAAATTGGCGAATATTCGCAAATTTTACCCAAATTTGTTTCCCTCTTTCGGGGCCCTCGCGAGCGTCCGGACGACGTTCGCGTGGAACGACGACGCGGTGACGCGACGCGAGTCCTCTTGCTGCCGACTGAGGCTCCTCTTGCGTTGCCTTCGCTTTATTCAAGGTTCGGCAATAATATAATCTCGCTCATCGGACTTTGATCCTCGGACGACGCGGGTCGCGCGTCAAGTTTGAATATTTCGAGCGTACTTCGGTCGTACATGATCCGCGTGCAAGATAACGCTCGCGCTCATTTTTTTTCGTTAGCGCTACTTTGTACCTTATTACGTTGTTTTACATGTAAATAGAATGCGCGGACTTTGGAACGAGTTCGTGCGACTTTTCGAGCGCTCGGATTCGCTATTCACTACACTACTTATACGTTTGTTTGCAACGTATATCAATGTTTTTTACCGGTCCAGTCGAGACACGGCGAGATTAATCGCGGAACCTTGATTTTTGATCGAAGTAGGAACTCCAGGCCGGACGCGGTCTCGTTCTTGAGATCACATTAATCGTCGTCACATAATAAAGTCGTTACTTGAAACTCGTCTCGAGCTACGTATTAATAGCTTACAATAACAATTTGTCCCGATTGCAAATCGAACGTCACATGCGCGTTACAAATTCGACTCCGAGTCTTTCACGCGAAACAAGCCTCAGGTAACGACTTGAAAATAGCCAACTGCTAAAATAGATTAGGTTCTCGAGCCATGATACAAACTTGGGCGCCGCGAACATTGTCCCCGCTCTTTGTACCATTGATCAGTATCGCTAATGTGAATAGTAGTTATCTGCGCCAGACAGTGCGAACTTTGGATCATAGTAGCGCGAGGCAGGCGGACCAAGGTACGCGTTTCTTATTATTATTCGTAATGCCTCTCTCGTGTCCTTTTTTAACGGCTTAAATATCAGCGCTCGACAGGGCACTTGTAAAATCGTACACGTATAAAAAGTCAAAAAGAGGACATTGCGTTTCTTCAGCCGGCTGTTTATCACATTTACGTAATGTTATCTAACGATAAATTATACAGTCGTGTCTTATCGCGACCTTTCAACACACACACACACACACACACACACACACTTGCGTGCGCGTGCGCGTGTCGGAAGACACTTTTTGTTTTTCTCTTATGTATAGATGGTCGTATATGAATTACACCTTTCGCTTCCGCGAATCGAAGATCGAAACTCGCGCAATCGTATTATGCGGAGAGGACGGAAACAAAGAAACAACTGCGTCCTCGGATTTTGCGCAGCGCGTAATTTTGCCGAAAGTAGCTCGCCGCGCGTCATCGAACGACGTTTGACTGCAATGCGTGCATTCCGTGTTCGTATCGCGAATTGACACGCGCGCGCATATATCGGGGGCAAAGTGCACTTGACCGAGTCGATCGCCGAGTCGCGGTTAAAGGACCGTTAAGGAGACGGTTCGCGGTTAGACGTCGGGGAATTCTTCCGCGACGTTTCGCGACGCCAGCGAATTTATCGCTCGCGGATCAATTGATCGACCTATCGCGCTCGCGATCTTCGGGATTCTCCTCTGCATTATGTAAGTGCGCGTGCCCGAACGCTGCTGCGAATACGCTCGCGAGATACACAGGTCGCCGCGTCGCCATTATCCGCATCTTGGGGTCCATCGTGTCAAGCCGAGTCGTTTGTTCAATGATTTCAAACATACGCATAATACAGAGTAGTGGACAACAAAAAATCGACGATAACACGTATTTCACGCTCGGAAGAGGTCGCGTCCACAGGTTAACGAGATCTCTCGAATGCCGCGCTCTTAAGCGGTCGAGCGCCGACCAACGACGCGCCAGGACCGTCGATGGTCGGCAAACGAGATCCTCCGACCCTCTAGTGATATTATTCGCTTCGAGCGAATCGGTCTCGAGGATCTCCAGCACCGCCGGGGAGAAAGAAGGGGGAGGGGGTGCATCTCGGCGGGCAATTAGGCCGGGCGCGAATTTGCATCCTGCATGAACTTTGTGAGAAACGCACTAACCGCGTCGACTTTGGGAATGGTTTTTCTTGCAGTGTCGATTAATCTGCATCATACAGAGGCGCATACAACCCCCTTCTAGAGAAAGAAAGAGAGAGAGAGAGAGAGAGAGAGAGAGAGAGAGAGAGAGAGAGAAAAAGAGTAAAATCGAAGTAACGGTGACCGGATAGTGCCGCCACCATGATCGTGGATGACAAACAGTGAGTCGTAGCGTGTAACGCATGGAAAATGCCGCTCGTAAATGTGTAGCTCGTAGACGAGCACGCATCCCGCTACGCATGGCGCATCGTGCGCCGCATACTTTACGCCTACACTCTGCATTCTCTCTTTTGCAATTTATTCTTCTGTCTGTCGCTTGCTCGGATTTTTAACCCTCGGATGCCGCGCTACGACGACGCCATGTCAGACGCCGTCGCGCCGTCAGTACCGCGGCAGACGTCATCCAAGGATTGAAAACGATCCGTGGAAATTCTCAATTTATTTTATCTGCCAACTTATATATCTTCGCCGTGCTCTTTACCGTGTCTCTGAACACGTGTCCCGGAATTAAACGCCTCGATTTTACGTTAAACGCGTCGTTTCAGCGGCTATATATTTCCGTATGATCTTTTTATACGATTTCGGCCTTCGCGGCGCATTTACGCGGTCGGAAAAGTGAGCCGAGTAAAATTTCCCTCGATTCAGCGCGCTTGCATCGGACCAACGCCTGTCTCTTTGACATTTACATACATGTATATATATATATATATATATTTGCCTATTCCGTCGATATCTCGTGGAAATTTCTTTTCAGATTTCGTATCACCGGAGTCTTATAGCGCACTTTCATCAATCGCTGGTTACATCTGTCGCTTCGATTAATCTGTCTTTGAGCATGTTACTTTTTTCTGCTCGCACCTTTATCAGCACGTACAAAGTAGATAGATCGTGGCTAGATGACTAGATTACGCACCATGACTAGATTAAGCAATAATGTATCATGCAATATGTTAAATGCAAAATATGGCTGCGCGTGATTTTGATTTCTTTATCGAATCGAGCGCACCGATACCGATCGAACACAGTCACGTTTAACGTTAACAAACAAAATGTGCGCTCCGTGCGCGACATACAAGCGCGCATCTCTTTCATTTCTCTTCTCAGAGAAATGAATGAGTCAGCTTTCCGAGGGACGAGATGAGGAATTTGAGCGTCGGTATTGCCGCCAAGTTTATCGCGTTTCTTCCTGGAAAAGTCTTTATCCAGGCATTTCACGATAATTAAATTTACTATTATATTACTTATTGGTGTGTATGTGAGTGAATTCCACCCACTCGGCAACTTCCCCCCACACCCACAATGATTTGCAGACTGCTGATTATCTCTCCTCGTTGGAATTCCACACTTTGCATGCTTTTGCGTACATTCGTGTGTTATACAATATGTTGATTTTTGCCAGATAAGCAAGGATATCGCGAGGTATGGATTTAATCCGCATATCGATTTACGTTCAAGGAGAATGCTAGAGCACATCGTTTATTTTTAATGCGTTCTTGCCACTCTCCTCGTTCCTTATGAATTTATAATCATCGCGCGATAAGCCGCCCCGCTGGCTAATGCTAAACCTACGGTAACAACGACGTAGTCCCGACTTTAACGCTGCCGCCGAATACACAATGCAAAATTCCCCGTCCGAATATCGAAGGTAGATTGTTGAATATAAACCAAGAGAGTATAGGCATAACGACGACATAATTGCAGGTGAGTAGTAACGGACTTAGCGACGATACCCCCCGCGTGTCGCCGAAATAATCGCGAGTATAACGCGCGCTTGTTTACAAAGACGTTAGTCAAAATTCGTTAGTCCGCGCTTATCGCGTATATATTGCTTTCCTCCGCTTCTTCGATCTGCATAATCACATTACGAATAATTTAAGCACCTTCTTTTCAGAATCTCTACAAGCTGTACTCGCAGATAGAACTCCGAGGTAATCGATACATTCCGAACCATTCGTTTCCCATTAGACGCGCCTCGCAGAGACCGCGGCAAGGAAACGGAAGAGAAAAGAAAAGAAAAGAAAAGAAAAGAAAAGACGAGAGCACAATGTAATCCGAACTCGCGCTCGCGATTTCTGCTCGTTTTGCCGGTCCGCGCGAGCTGCGTCTCCCGCGACCGCGACGAGAAAACGAATTCGACGGGGGGGTTGCTTGTGCGTCGCGAATCGCTGGCGAGAGACAAACCGCAAGGTGTCTCACCAGCCCCGCAGGAGGAGACTGCACATCTCGGCGTTTGACCGTGAGACACAGACGGTCGTTATCACACGACTAATCCCCCTCGTCGTCGTTTCCGTCCCTATCGCGCTCCAGGCACTTCGCCCTTAGGCGCGTATCTGACACCGCAGAGATAAGTACGTACATGTGGCGACCGGATAATCCGCGTTTGCTTTGCAACGTGAATGTGCAACACTGTCCAAAGTCCGCTACGATATTGCTATCGATATGCGTGATCTCCCGGAGCTTTGATCCTTCTTTTCTTTTTCTATTTTTCTTTCCTTTCCTCGATACGTAAATCTTAATCTCTCGCTCTTGCTCAAGCGTCGTGCTTCTCAGAGAGGTCGCGGGATCATCGGGTGCTCTGCCCCACCCGCGACGGATTTCTGTAACCCACTTGACGCGATTATTTAGCGGTTCGGCTCGACGCTCGCAATTCGCAAATTCGAGTCGCGAGCACGCGATGTCGTGTCGCTGATATGATGATGATAGCGTTGTCATTAAATGCAAGAAAAAAATTGTATCCCAGCAGAGCGACGATTGGAGCAACGGGACACTCGCGACTGAATTATATTCGTGGCTGAATGTACGTCGAGTGACAATGTTACCATGGATATGTACCATGTGCAACCGCTTGCATTCGCATGCATCCCAAGGGCGGTATAAATAACAAAGCGACGTTGGAATAACAGATTAGCGAAACGACGGGAAGAGGCTGCGAGATGAGAGACACCGGCGCGTATCGCGATAGCGCGAGAACCATCTTGAGATTACCTCGAAGTATATTTCCTTCCTCTATCACGCGCGTTATTTTAACGGAAGAAAAAACGGGGAAAAAGAGACAGAAAAAGAGGAAAAAAAACAGATTTGTCGCTAACGCCGGCACGGCGCAGTCTCGCGCATTATGTAATTTCAATCAGGACTGTGCACCGCGAGGCCTTCGCCCGTTTTAAGTGAAATCACAGAAAAACTGGACGCGCGTTACCGTCACGTAAGGTGACGTAACTCGCGCGCCGGCTCGTCGACGATGCTCTCGAGCAAGTGCACACGCTCTCGATATTATTACCCGGTCAACGCGATCAAACAGGGAAGCGGAATGAACGTGAAACTTGATTAATAACCGTGGAGTAGACACGAAGAGCTAACGAATGACTGACGCTCGACGCGACGACGGATCGCTGGTAGATGCGGCGCGAACGCTACGTGAAGAAGTTGACGGATACGGTATCGCGAGCGAATACGCAGCAATCAATGGCGAGTGGAGAGTAAGAGAGAATCAATGGGACCGATATGCGAATCTACTGATCTAAATTGACTTTGCGGTCGAGTTGCAAAGCGATATTTTATCGAAGTCGGGCTTAGCGCCGCGGCGAAAGCTGTGGTTAAAGCGGACATCGAGTTTCATATTTTTTTCAGAATGATTCAGAATAGCTCTGGCATTCGCGTATATCGCGAGCGTAATCGCACTTGCCGCATTGATACATTTAATTTTTTTTTTCTTTTTTTTTTCTACCTCCTTTTGTCCGTAAGTTGCTCTCGATGAGTTGAAGGAACGAGGGACATCTTCAGCTCGCGTTTTGTTGTCCGATTTGCAAGTCGTTCGTCCCGATTAATACATTAATGAGAGTCCGCGTGGAATGCGTTCGATGCGAGCGCAGATTAATCTCAGCAAAGCCATTTCGGAAAGCCAGAAAGAGAGGAGAGAACGATACAGCAAAACCGCGCGATATGCGAGATATTTTCGCTCTATTCGCCGGATTTAAAAACTTATCGATCATCGATACATTTGCATGTGGCGTGCAGCGTTAAAGGGGATGTAGTCGATCGGTTCTTGCACTCTCGCCAATTAAGCGGGAACATTTTGTTGTCTCTCTTTTTTTTCTTTCTTTTCTTTCGTCGACGTCGAAGAACAACGTCAAGATAGAACACGAGCGAGACGTTAGATTGTGTAGGATTTCGCGCGAGGAAATAGCCGAGGAACTAATCAACTGAAGTACACACAGCGGTTAAGCTCTTCCTCAGATGCGAAAACGCAATTACGTTCTCACGTGCCATTATGGTTACACGTGCCGACCGAATTTATCTTGTATCTAATTGCTTCGATGGCATCTCGTGTTCTATCACTTTATCGACTGTGATCGATCAACTATGTACCTACGATATAGTTTCTTCTGTTTTTTCTTCTTTCACGCACGCAGCACGATAAGCGGTCACGTCTGTGCATATGTCTGGCTACGCACACGTACCGAGCAAAATAGGCAGGCACCTTGATTTATATTTTGTCAGCCAGCATTTTCCAGCAAATATTTTTCACAGTGGATTTCTCGATAAAATGATTGTCTCGCGCCTGTCTCGCTTGCTGCTGCAAAACTGCCTCGTTATTTTTTACGCGTGTTATAATTGCATGATGCATGACTTCGAACATTACCCCTTTATCAGCTTCGAAGCTATCTGCCGATATAGATAAGCATAGCGGAATTTATAGAACCCGGGAGATAAAACAATCAATTTCGTGATTGCTTAAGATACAGCTTTATGATTCAGCTTTGTGCCACATCCGTGGAAATTAAAACACGATGAACGTGAGTATAAATGATATAACGGCGCTTGTGATATCGATTTTATTCGAGGTTGCATTCAGATATGATAGGATACGAGAGGAATATTCTTTTTTTCCGCGGCTGTAAGAGAAACTCAATTAAAACAGGAAATAAAAACTGTCGGGTCATTGTTAATTATTTTCTTATAACAAGAACGATCACTGAAACAGAGAGATTAATCAGAAGTCGCGCAGATGAATTTTCTGGCTGTCTTTTCACCTGCTCCCCGCTTCACCGGCAAATTTTCATTGTAATACAAGCGTAAGGATATCGATCCGCACATCGATCCGAGAAAGAAAGGATATATACTTGAGCGTCTCCTTTGTTTCACAGGGAAATGGAAGGTTTCTGGATCAGCGGCGCGATCCATGCGATCAAGGCGCTTTCGTATGTGTACGACCTGCTGACGTTCCCCGTGTATCTCATACTACAGCGACCGTGGGAGAAGCGCAAGGCCTCCAGAAGGATCAAGGCTCGGTCGATCTCCAAAGATGATACCACCATCACCTACAGAAGCGTCGACTCCCCGGGGCCAATGCACATCATGCTCGAGCGCGAAAAGATCGAAACTCTGGAGAAAATGTTCCTCTGGGTCGTCAAGATGCACAGCGACAAGAAGTGCTTCGGTACCAGGCAGATCTTGGCCGAGGAGGATGAGACTCAGTCTAACGGCAGAATCTTCAAGAAGGTAAGAGACGCTCGTCTCACGTCAGATTTTACGCTGCGCGAACAAAATGAATCCTCCCACGGCTGAGCCTTTTTAATGTGAAGAGGCTCTTGCCTGGCATTAAGAATCAGCTAAGAGCCAAATTGAAAGAGATAAAGGAATAAAGAAGAATGAAAGGAAAAAAGAGAAAGCGCGCGGAAGCTCGTTATTGTCCGTTTCCAACGCTGTATAGTATATTACGTATATCTCGTTGTGGTGTTTCGCGTAATCGCTGGACGATCAACTGTGGAGTAGACTGTAAAGTTCCATCTGCTTTACAGTATAGAATGGGAGAGTACAAGTGGAAAACGTACCAAGAAGTCGATAGATTGGCCTCATCCTTCGGTCGGGGTTTGACAGAGCTGGGTATGAGACCGCGCAAAAACATTGTCATTTTCGCCGAGACGAGAGCGGAATGGATGATAGCGGCGCACGCGTGCTTCAAACAGAACTTCACTGTGGTGACGATCTACGCGACTCTAGGTGACGAGGCTATCGCACACGGTATCAATGAAACCGAGGTGGACACTGTTATTACGAGTCATGAACTTCTGCCAAAGTTCAAGCGGTTATTGGACATGGTACCAGCTGTCAAAACAATCATCTACATGGAGGACCAACTCAAGCCGACTGACACGAAGGGATACAAGGTGCGTTTGTGTGAAATATCGTCTTGCGCGAGAGGATGAATCATCGCTTGGTGAACGAATTCACGCGTAATATGCCAGGAATCTGTTGAATCTCAGTTTTTTTTTTTTTTCTTTTAACTATAATATTAACACGTTCGCGACAATCGACGATCGCGACATTGGTTCACTCTAAAGGATGCACAATTTATTTTTTAATATACTGCTTCTTTGCGTTTGTTTTATAACAAAAGGCTTTGCTTTCATCTTATTCAATGAATTTTTCATGAAAGAGATGCACTGAGTGTTATAGAAGAATTCACAGAAAGAAAGAGGTAGCAAAGAAGCCAGAGCCAAGGCGTCAAAAGTTGTTACATTTTGTGCAATGCTTCATAGTGTGTGACCCCCACCGGTGGACACGCACGTCTATTAATATAAACCAGTGTGACCCACCAGTGGGTCACGATATCGCGAACGTATTAATATATGTATGACATGACGGATATTCGTCGTGTCACGTCGGCATTAACATAAATATAAATATTGAGGAATATTAATTAGACTGATTCCAACAAGGTATCATTAGGCACAAACGAGCCTCGCTGAATCAATATTTCCTTCTGAAAGTCCCAGTCTTCGCTTAATGGCTCTGGCATTGACTACGATTGACTATTATTATGTCATTTACATAATCGGCGATAATATGTCGACACCGGTCACTTAGCGGCTGATATAAACTTAGCGGCTATTTTCCTAATTTTTCTTTCGTTTTTTTTTTTTATTTCTTTTTTCTGTTTTCGTCGATCCCTTTGCGATCGCACATTTTCGTTTCAGGATACCGTGCAATTAGTACCCTTCTCTGACGTCATCAAGATGGGCAACGAGTCGAGCACGAGCGCTATACCGCCGAAGGGCAACGACACCGCTATAATTATGTACACGTCAGGTTCGACGGGAGTGCCGAAAGGTGTTCTTCTCTCTCACAAGAACATCCTCACCACCTTGAAAGCGTTCTGTGACGCGGTAGAAATCAGACCGGATGACGTCTTTCTCGGTTTCTTGCCATTAGCGCATGTTTTCGAGCTTCTGGCCGAGAGTGTATGTCTTCTGACCGGTGTGCCCATCGGTTATAGCTCGCCGCTCACGTTGATCGACTCGAGCAGCAAGATCCAGAAGGGATCAAAAGGTGACGCGTCCGTCCTGCACCCAACTTGCTTAACTGCCGTACCGGTGAGTGTTCTTACGAGTTGCCTCCGCGATGCTTCTCACCTTTTGTGGAAGTTCTACGAGGAAATCAATAAATTCGACAAATTTTATAAAAGAAGCATCGATCAACTGTTGTAACCGTAACCAACGTTCTGCCGCATGTTTCAGCTGATTCTCGATCGTATTTCTAAAGGAATAAACGAGAAGGTGAAAAAATCCGGCCCGTTTAGGCAAGCAATCTTCAATTTCGCGTATCAGTATAAACTGAAGTGGACGAAACGCGGATACGAGACGCCCTTGTTCGACAAGTACATCTTCGGCCACGCGAAACAAGTACTCGGCGGTCGCGTCAGGCTCGTTCTTTCCGGAGGCGCCCCGCTCAGTCCCGATACTCACAACCAAGTCAAACTCTGCCTCTGCATCACCGTGACTCAAGGATACGGTCTCACGGAAACGAGTTCTTGCGCAACAGTTATGGATGGTATTTATCTACCATCAATCGCAAACAATAGTATACATTTAAGACTTGAACAGTCGCGCTGCACTGTATTTCTCGTGCTTTTTAGAACATGACAGAACCACCGGTCGAGTTGGAGCTCCCACCACGGTGTGCGACATCCGATTGGAGAACTGGGAGGAAGCTGGTTACCGAGTCACGGATCACCCGCATCCCAGAGGTGAAATCCTGATCGGCGGTGATATCGTCTCCGCTGGTTACTACAAGTTGCCGCAGAAGACAAAAGAGGACTTTTTCCAGGAGGACGGAAGACAATGGTTCCGAACGGGCGATATCGGCGAGTTCCATCCGGATGGTTCTATGAAAATTATCGGTAGGCGTCGCTCGAGACATTTTATTATTTTTACGAAATATATCTCAATAGGGTAAACATACCTGTTTACAGACCGGAAGAAAGACTTGGTGAAGCTGCAACTCGGTGAATACGTTTCCTTGGGAAAAGTCGAAGCTGAATTGAAGACCTGCCCAGTCGTAGAGAACATCTGCGTCTACGGGGATGCAAACAAGGCATATACGGTGGCGCTGGTTGTGCCTAACCAATATTACCTGGAGGAGATTGCCGAAAATCTAGGCATAACAGAAAGGAACCGGACGGCACTCTGCAGCGATCCGAACATCGAGAAAGCGGTGCTCCAAGAACTCGTTGTGCAGGCACAGAAATGTAAGTCCCTACATACATTACTTTGCTGTATTTTCATTATTTATTATTCTCCTTTATCTTCGCTGTCGGCCATATTTATCAGCGAGTTCTCATCGCTATTGTTTCGTTCTTGTCGCTATCGCCGAAGCAATCTCGGCGGATTTTTAAGCTGCGACTAAAATATTCTCGCAGGTAATCTCCAAAGATTCGAGATACCCGGCGCGGTGAAACTATGCGCGGAGCAATGGTCGCCCGATATGGGCTTGGTGACGGCGGCGTTCAAGCTCAAGAGGAAAGCAGTGCAGGAGCGTTATCAGCATGAAATCAACCGAATGTACGCCTCGTGATGCTCCGCCATAGGATGCACCAAGTGCTGCGCGTAACGGGAGTCGAAATCTAGGAAATAAAATCAACCTCGTCCGGCAGACGGTACCTCGATAATCCTCAGATACAGAAACTTTGTCGTAAGCTCATGTCGCGCGTCGATCACACGGGACGCGATCACGATCCGAGCGTCATGGTTGTGGCGGTGGTAATGGCGGTGTGGTGACGCGCGCTGAAATCGTAGAGAGGACAATCCCGATGAAATTCGGCATAGGCGCGACCGACGGCGGGAAAGCCGCCGCCGACTCGGAAGTAAAAGCAGAGTAGAGCCGAGAAGATGGTGTTAACGTTCACTCTTCATGCTTACGCCGGGGATACGTACGGGGATACGGTGTAGTAGCGCGAAGTCTTACGATCTGCAAAATGAAAGTATCGCCTCGCACTTCTTCGTTGGGTCTTCCGAGCGCGACAAATTTTTCTTCGCATTTTTATCGATACCGACTGTCTGTTACACGCGACTCGAACGGACATACAGGGCTTCGTGTTGCGGGCGAGTGAGAGCGAGCAAGCAAGCGACGTGGGGTTGCAGCGGAATAATGTTGCGCGCATCACTGGGCATCGGTTTTACATATGCGCATCGCCGGCCGAGCAGATCGATACACGGTAAACTACTTGCCGTTGCGACACCGACACCGGCAAGAAACAAATAAATGGTGCAAGACGACTGTTCCCCGTCTGGGAAGTCGCTGTCGTCCTCTTTTGCCCCTCCCCCTTTATCTCTCCTATTTTATCTGTTCCTTCCCCCTTTATCGTCTTCTATTTTTTTTTTTTTTTTTTTTATCATTTCGTGTTTGTATCGCGGTGTTACCGCATCCTTGCCTTAGTCGTAGCGTCAACGGCCAGTCACGATATCTTTGCGAACAAGCTAATTTGCGCAAGTTCACAACTCGTACGGTGTACTTATCTCGATTATTATTCCAAAAATCGAGTTTACACGATCGTCGGAAGAAGGGACCGGAGGAGCTTCTTGCGCGCGTTTACGTACGATTAGTAGTAGTACACGGAAAATATAAAATTCGGTTCGCGGAATTAATTTTCCATTGTTTAACGATCGGACGAAACTCAATTATGGGAACAGGAAGATATCGATCGCGTTCGGCAGAAAATGCGTTTTGCGCTGGAAAAATGGAGACTGCTTAATAAACGTTGAGAAAGCATAAACTACCAGTGTCGTTTAGCGAAAAATCTTACTATTATTTACAAAGCGCTTGCCAAACTGTTTCTTTTTCTGCCGAATACAGCCATTTCTGTAGAAGGTTTTTATTCGGCTGATTGTTTTTGATTATTTCAGCCGAGTTTTAACGCCGAATTAATATTTTCGAATTTCGCGATAACGAAGATATTGGTCGAGTTTTTGTCCGGCCCCCATTTTTGTCACGCGAACTGAAATTTTCTTTTTCCGTGTACAACGTATATGTAAAGAAGAATAAGAAGCGGACGACGAGGTTGTTTGTATTCGAGTAACGCGTAGATAAATTCGGGACAATTTCATCGAGGTAAATATGTTGTGTAAATTCGATATTCTTATTATACTTAGCATTATACACTCTGTCTTATACCGTCTGTGTAGGTACTCGTCGAGAGAGATATTCTCTGCCTACTTTTTCGAAATGTTAATTCAAGCATCACAAATATTTCTCCCAGCAGCAGAACTGTATTTTTGTGTATGTATGTATGCGTGAGAGTAAATGTGCATAGGCATGTATGACCATTTAATTGTTGTATGCTTACATGCACATATGTCTGTAAGAAGAAGATAAGAGATGTGTGCGAACTTTTAAAGCGAGTAGACAACAAACGAATATTAAGTTTACAAATTTATAATTGTTCTATGTTTTTAGTTTCCTGTGTTCGTGAGCTTCCGCCGGTTCGGAAAGCAGGTTTATCCTGTCGCGATATGTAAAGATAGCGTCATGGTTCATACCGAGCCGATCGTCGGCTATATAAACATCTTGCAATGCCGTGCATGCGAATGAATCCTTATAGTCGGAAATGATCTTTTAAGATTCAGCCGTCAGAACGGGCGACCTATTTTCAGTTTATTCCACACAGTATGAATAATTAAGATGCAGTCTGCCTGGTTTCGAGTAGCTCATTCGTCCTTCGGTTTCATAATTTATGCGTTGCCGAAATGAACGCGAACCGGCGGAAAAGGCAACACAAGGATACTCCGGAGCCTCGCACTGTGCAAGGTTTGGACGTGTAATCGCGATTAGTGATTCTGTTGATAATGTGTGCGTTCGACATACAGACAGCTTAAATGTTTTTTCTCGATTATATACTTCTGTTTTGTTCTTGCAAGGTAGCAAGTGAGCGTAACGAAGCGAGCGAAGGTTAAGAAACCTAGGTAGGAGCTAACATCGGAGGTATCATCGGTGGCAGCTCACACTCCCTTCTTCATTCGCCACGAGAGTTCCTGCGATAGTTAAGTGTACGAGAGAGTCGGTATTAATTTTTATTAATTATATTATTAAGCGCTGTACATTACTTAGATAGGCATGGTCAATTGTCAGGTGTTATGGCATCACGATATGCAATTATTATTAATATCGATAATGTTATTTTCATTTCAACATGATAATTTACAAAATAAATGTACAAATCCGCATGTCGTCGATGTACAACGTTCATTGTCACACAACACCTCCGTCAAATTGTCCCATTTAACCATGCTTATCCTACCTATTCAACAGGTCCTCCGCCTAAATAACTAATGCGATAATTACGAGTCGAGTCCAACTTTGAATGAGTTTCCTTTTAATCGCGTTTATTTTGCACTACCACAAGCTACTCCCCGTTATTCTGTCGGTGGGGTTTCTTCGGCTTGGACGAACTCTCGATGCAGCTCTGAGGCTTCGAAGTTTCAGGAAGCTCTGGAAGCTACGAGGGACAAGGAAATACAAGTGATGTAGGAAGAGCTCGAGTACGGTATAATCGTTTATTCATTACAAATGCACCAGAAGAAGTAATACGTCATTAAGTACATAGAGCGGTCTATCGAGTTGGTCATTTGCAATAGACGTAATATCGAATACGGCACCCTTCCTACTTTCGCAGTAGAAGTACAAACTATCAAGTCACGTCGCGACAGAGAATGCCGTTTTATCCGCACGCGCGTGCGCACGTTAAATATACCATATATTAAAATCTGTAAAATCCGTGAGAGCGGGCCGATCGTCGAGCACGCGCTGACTATCAACGGGAGTCCTCTCGATAATATATATACATACGTTTATAAAATCCACCGTGTGGTGGATCGCATGCGCGAAGAGGAACATCTGGATTTATTCGAGAGCGAGGTCATCGGTCGTTAAGCTGCGCCCGACCCGAAGAGAGAACAGGTCGCTTGAATTAATAATTCGGCAATGACAACTCTCTCTCGATGTGCTTCTCATTGCCCTTTAATTAGGAGAGGTCGCAAACAACAGAGTGCCGCGCCGAGGCCGATAGGTCAAATATACCGATGCATTCATAAATAAGTTAATCTGCGCAACTCAATTACGCGACAACGATTCTCGAACACCAACAAGGAATATTTAGAGAAGCCTGAAACTTTGCAAGAGCCAAGTACACACATTTAACCGTGCAGCTGTTTCTCGTTTAAGTTGGCACAATTCTCAGAACGAGAGCTCAGCTCTTCTTCGCAAGAAAATGTGAGAGAAGGTTTTCACACTTTTGTTAATATCTCCGAAACTGATGACAGATATTGGATGAAAATGTTAGTTGAATGTTTCTCTTTTCTTTTTTTAACATCTCTGATCTCTGAGATATTAACAGAAATATGAAAAAATCATGTTTTCCTCGAAGGAGTGTTTTCGTACTGTACAACTTTTCCTTTCAAACGGAAAATAGCCAAGTTTTAGATTCATGTGAATTTCACCTCGGCAAAATTTCAGATTTCTGAGGATTTGATTACGTTTACGTAACTCGATTGTTCGTTAATGTTCGAGAATAGTTAGAGAATAGAGGGAAAGAGAGTAGCAGTAATTGCCGAATTTTCCTGGTAACAATTGCATAACAATGTCAGACCATGAGACAAGGGAGAGGAGCTCGACAGCACTTGGTAGATCTTTTTGTGCAAAATGAAAGAAGCGCGAAAATGTGCTTGTCATTTTCCTTTCATCTTTATCGGCCCGTCGCTCGACGGCCGGCTGCTTCGCGCTCAACGGTCCTTCTCGCGCATACCTATGCAACATTTGTAATCACATCACAACAACATAGATATATATTTTTATATATAACTCTCTAACACATAGAGTGTTTTCCAAAGCTGTTGGCCACGAAATATTTTGTGGATCATCACACGTCTTATATTTGTAGCGCAGAGTGTTTGGCAACTATATAGATTCCTCGGTGATTTTCGTGATGGGGAGCGTCGTCCGCGCCGCGCGAACTTTCCATTTACGACGGTAAATCTCTCGATAATCAGGTAACGCGAATTTCGCGGGTCGCACCTTGCCAGGTTCATTGACAATTCACCATTGTCAGGGGTACGGAGCGAAATTTCTCGGAGAAGTACAAGCGCGTGTAAGAGAAATCGGGATCCCTGGACGGGGAAATTTCGTGGGGAACACGCTTCGTGAAAACTCCGCTCTAACAACAAATACCCGTTGCTCTCTAAAACGTTGTTTCTCTCTAAAGGCCGATATTCTCAGGCCCGAGTACAATCTCACTTCGGAAGTATACTCTAAAAGTTTGGTCAGAGTCCTTACGTTACGCTAAATTGATCATAGCCTCGAGATTACGTAACTAGGTGCTCTATTAATTACGCACAGGTGAGTTAAAGTTGCTATTACTCTAGCGTGAAAGTGCACCTACGCGATAGAGAAAGTCCCTTGGACGTGTCCGACGGCTGTGTGTCGCGCGCGAAAAGACGTCTCTGAAATATTAAATCACGCGCTCCAATTTTGCTCGCGATACGCTCCCACGTGTATTGAGCGCGATTAATAATCCTCCCGATAATCAAGTTGAATTTTCGTTTCAGTTCCGCCTGTTTCCGCCTGTTCGGCAAGGAAGTCTGAGGAATGTCATATCGAGGCCTAACGCGATGTCGAGACTTTCAGAGATCACCCGTTGTGAGATCACCAGTCGGAGTGCACTCGTGGAGAATACATTTGACCCGTTGCCGTCGCATCGGCCGCGCAACCTTGCGAGCCGAAGAATGCCGGCCGAGGGATCGATCGAAATACGAGGGAATAATCTCTCGAGGATTTCCCGCAGTCGCCGGGAAGGAAACGAAGGTACGTGAGATTGAAAGTTTATCGCGCGCGCGCGAGCCATAGCAACGCAGCGCCGTAAAGGGACGTTGTCGATTAATGAGAAAGTTCATCGCGGCGACCGATATGGAAATTAAAAATTCATTCCGTGGATCTCCGTCGCGCTTCGCCGGAAACACAATGGACGGTGGTGGGAACCTTTGGTCTCTCGCTCCGAGCCCGAAACTGTACGTAATTTCTGACAAGAGACTTTCGCCGCGCCCCTTTGCCAGACTTTGCAATTTTTAAACTGTCCAAGCGTTATTACGGCTCCTGCCAGCGCGGGAAATATCTTCGGCCGGAAACTGCCTTACAGTCCGAGCTAAAGGATCACGTATAATTAGATGAAATTATGTACTGTAATTCTACTTGAATTCTACATAATTATGTGTACGATCCGTGTATAATTTTGACTTCTATATGGCCACATTCAATTATACACGTCCACGCGCGAGAAAACAACTCTGTTGAGTGAAGAGAGGAAAAGATGGATTCATTTAATTAAACGAGCTGTACTGCGAATGAAGCAGTTATTTGCAATTGTATGTTTGCAACGCTATGCTGTTTCTCTCTCCACGCGGAGAAACAAAATTCATACGTAGTTATTTTTTCCCTGGGAGTTCACAGAACTTAGGGAGAAAGACCAAAGAGGCTCACTACACCCCATTGTGTTCTGGGCTCACAGAGACGTGAAAAGCCGCAGGTTCGGCCGCAACCTCGCGAGAAAGAACAAAGCACAACGTTCGCGACGATTTGCATTTTTGTTTCCATTTTTTTCTTTTTCGAAAAGAAGAGTCGACCGGTTTGTAATTTACGGCGCGATGTAGAATCGGATCCGGCGACCTGCGAAAACACGCGTAGTACGCGCGATCGTCGTGCAATCAGCGCGACTTTCATTTGGGACGAGAGTTTTCCGCTGGGCAACGCTGATGAGAAAGCAGGAAGGGGAGGATAGACCTTCACTTGGCCCGAGTTAAGGGGATTGGAGGGTCAGATTGCTGAAAAATCTTGCTTGTTTTTGATAATATTTTGTGACGAGCTGAATAAATGTGCAAGAATGAAAATTTTAGGTATAGTTATATAACATATAAAGAGTAGAAAAATTTTATTTATTAACAAATACTCGTATAAATATACGATATATATAGCTGAAATATACTCTCCTTTTTTTTTCAAGTTGTCGTTTTTGCAGTAATAGTCTCGGCTCTCGGTGGCCCGATCAGAGCGAATTTTAGCTAGAAATCTTGAGGAGGAAATCTTATTATTATCCGGTGAACCATTAGAAAAAAAAAATTGAACATAATTAATAAAATGGCAGCTATTATTAGGAAAAAATTCAAATTTTTAAGTTCTTTTACAATAAAAAAATTAATATCTCGGAATGAAGTATTTGGACGGAGTTGTCCATGGTTCACCTGAGAGCCACATGAACAAATATTATTGCTTTAAAATTTCAAATCGATACGAAGCTCAATTTCGGAAAAATCACTGCGTAAAGTTGAACAATAAATTTTCGAGAAAAACGCGTTTAAAATTCAAGTGGACGTATATTTATATGAGTATTTGTTTAAAAACAAAATTTTTCTACTCTTCATACGTTATATAAATATATGCAAAATTTTCGTTCCTGCACATTTATTCAGTTCGTCACAAGATCATTATCAAAAACAAGCACGATTTTTCAGTAATCTGACCCTCCAGTCCCCTTAAAGAGAGTGTCGAATGAATAACGAAAGTGTCTTCTTTTTTGACCCCGGGCGTTGTTATTCGCAGCTGCGTGACGGGAGTATCGGGGACATAACGAAATTACTTGAATGACGTCGTGTAAAACGTTTCGATCTTCCAAGTGTTTCTTCGTATTCGTCTACTTTTCTTCTTTCTTTTTTCTTGTGTTTTTCTCGGGGATGGAATACGCGTGTTTACGCGCGAGTGGATGAAAACGCGTAGGCGTCGCGCGTGAACACAAGCCCGCATTGCTACGCGTTAATATCTCTGACATTCGTAGAGCCTGTAAAAGCAACATTTGTACAAACACATAATGATAACATCACCCGCTGTATTTTTTGTGAAATTTCGGGCACATACATATGTACGTATGCATTTGCTCTAATTCGAAAGATATGACATTCGTTAAATTTTTACGGGATGTTTGTAAGATCTCTGTGAGTTAAAATTTGTGCGACCGCAAAAGACCTGTGGGTGTGTGTGTGTGTGTGCATGACAGGGAAATTGCGTGATATCACGCGTGCAATTGTGAAAGGTATCTGCAGAATTCTGACACGTAATTAATGAAAAATGGGGGAATTAAAGTGGAATCGATAAAAGTCCATTCCACAATGATGCCTCCTTCCTAGTCATCGGAGTTGAGAAGCGCCATTTTATTCAATTCCCCGGAATTTCTATCTCACATCCCGTTTCTCTCTGCTCGCTCTGCTTGTTTCGATTCGACCGTCGGGAATTCAAGAAAAACGAAATCTTCTCCCGGAAACGAGATATGTCGAGGTGAATTTTCTTTCCACTTTCCGAACGTCCGAACGTCCGAACGTTCGGAAGATCGTCGAACGTCGTTTTGTCGTTTGTTTTCACGAGCAACCGTTTCTCTCGATCGACTTTAATTCATCTACGTTCTTACGACAATTAAACTGTCTAGTAATTTACCGCGCAGGATCGAGTCGTGTTGTACGCTTCTAAACGAAACGGTGCAAGAGGAGCCCGTTTCACGTCGCACGAGAGACATGTAGAGACACGCGGGCGAGTAAACGCGTGTAGAACGCGTAAGTAACGATGGTCCATTGACTACGACGCGATTACAAAGGTCTCGGGTCTCTCGCGATTCGAGGTCGCAATTTGCCGAACGTCACTGATAAGTAACACTACCCGACTGTCACTCACCGATTCCAATGAAATTCGGCATGCACGTAGAACATTGAAAAATATTGAACACGTGTTCTTTTATATCGGCTGACAACGCATTTTAAGGGTGGAAATCACTCCTTGATCCTTGAACATGAAAGCACTATTTCAACCCTTGGTACATATTACATGTGATTTCCGTCAAACTTGTCTTCCATTGAACAAGTCAGTAAGGGGTTTTTAGGATCGCCGATTACGAATCTGGAGATAAAATTACAAACTTCAAGATGGCGGACCGAAAAAAGATGGCTGATCCAAACCAATTTTGATATCTGGAGGTTTTTGGGGCCTCTAATTACGAATCTAAAGTTGGAAGTCAAAATTTAATTCGTTTGTCGCACTTTATTATTATTATTATTATTATTATTATTATTATTGTAATGTGTTTTATTTGTAAGATTTTTAAGAAGGTTTATTGTAAACTTTCAAGAATATTAATTATATAAGATATCTATATCTATATCTTATCAAGATATGTCAGAATATCATTATATATATTCCGCTCGGATACTGACGGATATTGATCTTTTGGAAGACCAACTTCCTAATCTGAAAAAAACTGACTCGACAGGTCAATTTTGAATACCGATTCATTGTTAAATTCAGTAAATGTAATTGCCTGAGGCAATATCCTCCTTCACTGGTACAATTTCGATCTGCCATATTGCATATCTGTCATATTCCACCATCTTGAATTTTATAATTTTATCTCCAGATTCGTAATTAGAGGCCCGAAAAACCTCCAGATACCAAAGTTGGTTTGAACCAGCCATCTTTTTATAATTTCGGTCCGCCATATTGGGTCCGCCGTCTTGAATTTTGTAATTTTGTCTCCAGATTCGTAATCAGCGACCCTAAAAACCCCTTACTGACTGGTTCAATGGAAGACAAGTTTGACGGAAATCACATGTAATATGTACAAAGAGTCGAAATAGTGCTTTTATGTTCAGGGATCAATGGGTGATTTCCACTCTTAAAATACGTTATATCAGCCGATATAAAAAAACACGTGTTCAATATTTTTCAATGTTCTACGTGCATGCCAGATTTCATTGGAATCGGTGAGTGACAGTTGCGTAGTGTTACTTGTAAAAGCGTCTCGCGCTTGTGGAACTGTGAATCGCAAGTATGCGCCGCCGATTATAAGTCGCGCTCTCCCATTTAGATAAGAAAAGCTTTCAAGTCCTTGTACGAGGACCTCGAGCCACGAAGCCTCAAAGTCATCGTCGACGTAGTCGTCGCCGACGCAGTCGTCGTCCTACCTTTTCTCCGGAGAATTTTATCCCTCCCCGGTGTGCGTAACGGCGCGAAGATTATCATCTTCGTGGGGAAAGCCCTGGCAGCGGTCCCATAACGCACGATATTGGGACATTAGACGGGAATGCATTGTGTCAACGTTGTACCAAATGCGCTCCGGAGAGGATATATATTGGTAATAAAAGCCCGTCCGCGGCATAGAAGGAGGAAGGGAGGGAGGGAGGGAGGGAGCAAAATCGATCCGTCCGTGTATAAAACGTGTGTATCCCGCAGCTTCGTTGCTTCTCGATAATGCTCGCGATGTGTGTCTCGTCTCTTCTTCTTCTCTATTTTCATTTTAATCGATTCGAGCTCGAACGTGTGCGCTCATGTGTGCGCTCGCGTTTGCGCGCGCGCGTGTGTGTGTGTGTGTGTGTGTATGGGCGCATGCGAAGTTTCGCGTTAAAGGAAAGTTTAGTCTCGACTTTGTCGTCAATTTCCGCACAGTGGGACAACGCTCGTCATTCTTCCGTGTTTTCCGGCACTTTGGTCGCAACTCTGCAGTGTTTCTTCGGTTAAGACGGGCCCCGCGTCGCGATTATGGCGTAATTGCGTAACGCAAACGAGAGAGCGCGCGTATGATTCGTGTTTCACGTGATCTGACAGTCTTCGCATGAGACTCTACCAGGGCTTTCTCCCCGAAAGATGGATGGTCGAGGGCTGATGGGAGGGAGAGGGGGCGGGATAGCGACTAGAAGAATTCAAACGGTGATGTAGTAAGCCCGCGGCTTGCCTCTCGACGTGGTCGGACTGAAGATGATTCCTGGACTCGTCGGACTAAACGACCAGGACGCCCACGAGGGTGGCGGTAGCATGCGTCAGGACGTGTAATATCCCTCATGCGGCTTGCAACATTTTTCACGGGCGATGTAGCATAGCGCGATGGTGATTAGCAGCGCGATGGTGATCCCCATGCCTATGCTGATCCAGATGATCTCCTCATTTATGCCACTGTATCCTTTCCCTGAAAGCACGTTGATTTTATCGAACGATTACTCGTCACATTCTAACTTGTCACATTTGGACGTGCGAGCGATACTTTCCCTTGGTGAGTGGGGGGCAGGGGGCGGGGGGAGATATATTTAGAAACGTTCATTTCATTCGCTATCAAAAACGTATTTGTTAGCGAATGAAATTCCCAGATTCTTTATTTAGGCAGAGGCTGCTTGTGGTAACTAAGCCTTTGAGAGCTCTCAAATATTTATGAATTCTCGCCAACGATCCGATTCGCGGCAAGATTCCACCCGAGCGATACACACAATATGTTAACGCACGGTTAATTGTATTTTCACTTCTCTCGCGGCTCACACGCCGCGTCGAATTCAATCGCGAATCGTTGATCGTACCAAGCGGGCTCTGCATAAATCCACTGGGGAATTTTTATCAGCGGTGTAAGGCTGTCTCAACAGCGAGGACTTAGGACGGGTTCGAGAACGTGACTCGCGAAAGCCACCTACTCCTCTCTCCTTCTCTTCCTCTCTCTCTCTCTCTCTCTCTCTCTCTCTCTCTCTCTCTCTCTCTCTCTCTACCAAAGTTCATAAATCGCATCCTAATTTCATAGTCATGAGACTCCACTCGACCACGGCTCTGGCCATGGTTTTTAAACTCACCTCACCGTGCTCGCGTTACCTGTATAAGACGTCATCGTGCGGCCTTGTTTTCCGCTTGTCATGATAAATGAACCCGTCTTATTCTCAGATGAACTCGAATGCGGCTCGGAGCATTCACGAGTTGATTTAGAATTTTCCTAAACCCGAGCTCGCGTCTCTAGTCCTCACTGCGAATCCTCGCCCTCACTGCGATCATCTCGCAGAAGCGTGTTTCGCCATTCCGCACTCGTTAAGTGAACTCATTGTACTCTCGAAATTCCTTGGAGAGAAGTCTCACTCGAAACGACTGAAATTCGCTCCGGGCGACGGAACGAAGTCACCTCCGGAAGCAAATTTCAATATCACAAAGGTCAACAGCAAATTTATTTCTGTGCTGTAAACGTAAAATCACGATATTTCACCATTTTGTACGAAATAGAGTTTGGCTGAATAACGTTAACGATATTTCTTCGGAGTACGTGCATAGTGTATTTGCCGCGACAAGTTTCACAGTACTTGATGTGTCACAGAATAAATTTGTGTCTCTATTATGTCGATCTGCTTACGTCAGATCCACCGTTCAATTTCAAGGGAAGATGTTCACCCGATTCAGAGTGAAAAACCGCTCGAATCCGAGCGACTCTCCCTCGACTTTTTTCCAGTGAAACTTCGCCCGAAGAGATTCGGAGAGCGTAAAGTTCGTAATTTCACCGTGTCTGCGCGACAATCTCACGGCAGCAGTTTGCACCTTTGCGTCCGCGGATCCTCGGCATCCGAGGGTGCGAGATTTTCGCGATCGCGCTGCCGTGATTTTCTAATTCTCCGCGTTCTTCCCCGAGAGTCGTGCGATAAAATTGTTTGGACGCGAGGTTCTTCCTCGCAGTTTGAAGGAAATTCAGCGTTAAGTAGATAAGAGCCGAGCGCTGAACGACCAGTCTGGAGGATCTCCTTTGCAAATTATGAAAAGCCGCGCCGCGCCGCGCCGGCGGGGCTGGCAGCCGGCCCAGGGTCAACATTTTTGTAGATTCCCGTCGTATCCGATCGAACATTGGCGCGATTCCGGCAGTTTTATCGATTTCGCGCGCGTAGCCGCCAACAATAAGTACGCGCACGCGGAACTTCGCGGCCGAGCGAATGACGCGCGATTTTGCCGTTAGTAGCGTTATATAAAACGCATTAACGTTGTGTATACGAAAGTTTGTAGAGTTCGTTCCCGGCTCTCTGGCCCGCGCCAACTCAATTTGCATACGAGTTCCTCGCGTGTCTTCGGCGAGGATAAATACGGAGCACTTGCGAGAGAGAGGATACGACTTTACACGCGATCCTTCCTCGCCCGTGTGTGTGTGTGTACATGCGTACACGATCGTATCGCGGAAAGATCTCACGTAATCTCGACGTATCGACGTATCGACGCAATCGGAGAGGTTTCCCGAGACGTATACGCGCGAAAGGAACACAAAGAAAACGGAAGAATCGCTCCGAACGATGACTAATAATTTCGCGCGAAAGCGTGGCTTTCGGGCGAGAAGCTGTGTTCAGTGGCACCGGGTCAACTTGCTCGTACATTTGGTCTTTATTGCGAGAAAACTCGTGGGAGGAGGAATATCGTACATGTTCTCTTTAGGATGTAGCTATTTTTCCTGCGTGCTCTCGTGGAAGGCGCATTTTCTCTCGCAATAAGTACATCGACGAAACACACACAACCTACGTGATCCGCTGCTCTATCGCGATTGTATCGCGCACAAAAATCAACTTATCCGCAGGTATCCCGTCCGTATGAGACTTCTGCAACGGATGGAACTTACTTCGCGGCCGGCGAAGCCGGCCAGGTCGGGGCCGTAAATAATTGTGCAACTCGCGCGCGCGCGCGCGCGCGGACAGGAAGATCCTCCAGATCCGGTCGCTTGTCACGACAGAATTACGACAGAATTACGACAGAATTACGACATCGAGTGCCGGCGATACACCGCCGCTGTCGTTAGCCACGATTGTACCGCGGCAATTTTCGTCGCACGACGACGCGCAGGACGAATCCCCGCGCGCGTGCGGACCGTCCCGTCGGGACGGGACATTGAAAATTGCCACGGACTCCCGGCTTCGTGACCTCGTATATACCTAATAGAATGATATCCATGTCCACATTACCATTGTAATGGGAGCTATAGATCCCGACTTTGCCTGCCACGCGTCCGCCGACCGGCATGTTTGCACCTTTTCCTCTTGGTTTGTCACCTGAAAAGGAAATACGCCACTTTACAGGCAGCCGCTTAAAGCTAAGGTACAAATGGAGCAACGTGCTTCCCATCCTTCCTTCCTTCCTTCCTTCCTTCCTTCCTTCCTTCTTTCCCGTTTCACCCGTTATCTACTCGCCGCTAGTTCCGCCTCGTTCATATTCTTTCATCCGGTCCTTCCCTCCTTCGTCATCTCCTCCTATTCTTTTCTCTTGTTATAAATCATCGTGTCTTTTCATCTCGCTCTCTCTCTCTCTCTCTCTCTCGCTCTCTCTCTCTCTCTCTCTCTCTCTCTCTCTCTCTTTTATTTTCGTCATCTCCCCCCTCCGCCTGTTTTGACAAGGATAATATACAACTCGGAACCGAGGGCGTTTTAGCTTGTTCACGCTACGTCGAATTTATTGGAACACGCTTTAGCCGGATATTATATATTCGGGCAGCGTGTTATTTATGAAGCGATTAATCGACGAGAATTACCAACTGCCAGATCCGTAATCGATGTACAGATTTAACAAAGGGATCGGTGAGAGCGAGAACCCACAGAGGGACTCACGTTAATTGTTTTCTTCACGATATTCCGATATTATCCAGAGCGATCTTTTCGCCGCGAGTTCGCTAGTTACTTGGAGATCCCCTAAATGTTGAGCTTCCGTAAATCCCGAATTGCGCGGCGCGATGTCGTAAATTCAAGCGATGGTGAGTTACGTTCTCTTTCAGCATACGGTCTCTCGTGATATATATCGTAAACTTTACATCGGATACTAGACGGTGCGCGCGCGAGTTCCCGGGGAGCGTTTAGAAACGCGCAGGAGAGTTCATAATCGCGTCCGCGTAACGTTTCAAAATTCCAATTCCACCGACAATGATATCACGTTTGTCAGACGGTCGTCAGAGCACGGAGCACCACTTCGGCGGGCTGTGCGAACGTGTGTCACACGCAGTGACAAATAGAACGAGCAGTGAAGAGGACTCTTTTTCCCTCCCTCTCTCTCTCTCTCTCTCTCTCTCTCTCCCTCTCTCTCTCTCTCTCTCTCTCTCTCTCTCTCTCTCTCTCTCTCTCTCTCTCTCACTCACTCACTTTTCAAATCGGTCCTTTCGTTCTGCTCATCGTCGGATTATTCCAACGAGGACATTACGGTTTCCGTCCTCCCTTTCCTTTCGCCCTGTGCGACAACGGCGCTGTTTAAAAAGCCGCGTCGAGGATTCTACGCGAGTCAATCTTTTATGCTCCCCCGATTTTACTTCATTCCTTTCGATTCTTCGTTCGATTTACATTCACCACATGGCAAGAGCGCTCGGCAAAGATCGCAAAATCCGCGCGCAAATTATTCTTCGCTGACATTTCTCTTTTTTTCTCTGTGCTTTCAGGGACGATCGGATGCCATCGCGCCGCACGAGGGAATCAATCAACGAGAGAAGGGAGAGGGAGAGAGAGAGAGAGAGAGAGAGAGAGAGAGAAAGAGAGAGAGGGCGACCGAGCTTCCTGGTTTCCTCGGATTCTGCCGTGTCACTGCGCGCGACTCGGCGTTCTTTCGCGTCGTTAAAAAAAGCTTCCACGACAGCGACGAAGCTTGCGGCCCTGCCTGCGGCGACGTCAGCATCGATCAAAGGATTTGCCTGCTGGCGACACACCGACGGCGGCGGCGGCGGCGGCGGCGGCGAATCTACGCGGCAGAAAGGCAGATAGGTGATGTCATCGTCATGTTTCAGACGGCGAAGCGTCGATGTGTCGATCTCGAAGAATCGAAAATAGAGTGCTCCAGGTACACTTCTTCGAATCCGCTTAATCGCCCGACATTTTCTCGCCCGCGCTCGTATCCGTGCGCGGCCAAGCTGCAAAGCAATTTTCGCTGATTACAAGCGGCCTCGCAGTGCTGATAGTCGAGCGATCACGTTCTCTATCGAATAACGCGGCTGAATAATGAGAATCATCGCGGCGCTGTCATTCGCGACGCACATGGCGGAGTAATTATTATTATAACGTGTTCGTTGTCGCGCAATTGTCGTCTCGGTCTGCCAACGCGTGCGCGCGTTACCAATCAATCGCGACTTCGCCAATGTGAATTCATCGCGCGCATCTCTTTATTGCGCGAATCTAATTGGGGAACACGGAACACCTCGTGCACAAACGTTCACGTGAGCGCACAGACACACACGTGTAACTCCACGCGCTCCTCGCTGTCATTTACATAACGTGATGACCCGTCATCGGGAATTTTTCTTCCTGCAAACGCGTGGAAACTCACTCCACGCGTGGGATCTGTTCGATCCGATGAATAAAACGAGCGCGATCTCGTGTTCCTCCAAGAGTCGACGTTTCTCTAGGCTCGGCAAAAATTGCCCCGCGCGATCGAGCTTCCTCGCGGATGATCAATCGTCCGGCCGAACTTTGATCTCGTCGTTGGGAAACCGCGGGGAAAATCAGTCCCGGCTGCCCCGAGCGCGGAGCTAGGAAAAATGCTTATCAGCAACTAGATAAAACCGCGTGTGCGTGACTTTCCAAGTCTCCCCGAGAAATTGGATTGTGAAATTTCATTGAGGAGGAAGTAAGGCGGCGTTGCTCGAGCATCGAGCAGCTCGAAATCATGCGACTTTTCACTCAGTGCAGAGAGTGACTTCCTGCCCGTCGAACCGTCGCGTCGGCGTCGCGTCGACTTCACTCGACATCGAACAGTCAAGCGGATGCGCGTCTCACCGTCATACGGACGGATCTATTTCTCAATTCAATCATGACCAAGACGTGCTTATATGTGCTCAACTCCCGAGTTGACTCCCTGTTCGCGGAGACCTTCGTCCTTCCGCGAGATTCCACGAGTGATAGTATCCTCACGATCGCTCCGAGCGAAATTCCAATCGTTTTTCGACTGCGAGATATTTCACTCCGTGGGAAAATTTACAGAGCGGACGAGTCCACAATTGTGGACAAAGTACGTTCGACAATCCCACCGCGAAGTATATTCTTTACTGAGGAAATCATTCTCAACGAAACGACGGAGGAAGGAAAATAGGACGTTTCCTTACAAAAGCGCGAACGGGGGAGTAACACATCCTCGCTTATAAATCTCCCGTGTTTCCGGCAGACTCCAGTGGAAAAGGACGATTGCGCGCAGACCGCGTTGCATGCAACCGCACGCGCGGTTGTCCGTTTTCCAAGGGAAAAGGCGGGTGTTTAGTTTTGCAGGCGTCGGTACACCGAAAGTATAACGAGACTAAGAATTTCGTGCAATTTGTTTCAATTTCTGCGCGCATACACGTAGACAGAGAAAGAGAGCTGGAGATTATAGAGGGAGAGGGAGGCAAAGCGAGAGTGAGCGGGAGAGACCGAGTGACCGAGAATGGACGACGCGCTTGAACTAATCCCGAACTCGCTCGTAACTATTCCCGAGGTTTGACAAATAGGTGCGCCTTTGACGGCCAGGTCAGGCATCTCGAGGGAGGACGAGGGGGAGGGGGGGCCGACGAGGGGCGAGCTTTAGAATTCAAAATCCGCATCCGAACTAAATTGCACGGTCGTTTCCTGTGGAACGAGCGCCGAGCGCGAATTAAAGCACTCCTGCGCGTTGCAAATTCGCGAGCGCGGACCGCGAGCGCTCGCTGACGACGACGACGACGACGACGACGACGACGACGAGGAATTATTCCCCGGGCGCTTCTTAATAAAGCTTCCCGTTTAAAGCGAGATCAACAAGTTAGCTTCGTTAACGCCGCCGCTGCCGTCGTCGTCGTCGGCGTACACGCGTTCCCCGCGCGTCCGCGCCCGTTCTTTTGTATCTCTCACAATTAAACGTGTTTCGCCCGTCCGTCCGTCCGTCGGCATTCATGAACTGTCCGAGCGAGGACAACGCGCGGCGGCTTTTGTCCCCGAGCCGAGCGTTTTGTGCGACGACCCGACTACCACTGTCGAACAAGTAGTTGATGCAGTTTCCTGCCGCGCCGCGCCTCGTATCCGCTCGGCAGCCGCTCATCCGCGCTCGCGCGCAATTACGCGCGATCACATTAGCGCGTGTTTTGAGCTTTATTAATTAACGGCGCGACGAGAGAGAGAGAGAGAGAGAGAGAGAGAGAGAGAGAGAGAGAGAATTTCGAGGCTGGCTCGTGGTCGGCAGGCGTTATCCGCGTTGCAACGGTTCAATGAGCACCCACTGCTCACATTATATTCTCTGATGAGTCTGAAAGTATCAGACTCGCCGTGCGCTCACCGTGTGCTTCTTTCCTCCGGACACAACTCCTGCCTCGTCAAATTCGCCCGCGTGTTCGTTTCTTGTGTCGTGTTTGTTTCCCGCGCGGAGTATATCGCGGGACAATATCGACGTGATCTCCTCTAGTAGAATGTTGCTAATTATCCCGTCGTAATCCTTTCGCAGATCTCGTTGATGTTTATCAAAGCGACAGCATCTGCTCGAGGCAACGTTTCTTGTCTCGAGAGTCAAGTCGTTTCAGGTTTAATGCGAAGTTCGTTATTGAAACAGCAGTCGCTCTAATTAGCGAAATTATTAAATCCTCGATCGCGCGGAACTACGCGGAACCGGCTGCGCTGTCGCGAATGCAAATACGTTGATGCAGGTTACCGCGGATACTAAGGAACGTCGTGGTTGCAGAAACGACAGTGGTAACGGTAAACGATTTAGTCGGACGGATATACACTGTCCGCGGGTCTTGAGAGAGGAGGACAGAGAAAGAGAGAGAAACGCGCTCGCAAATCGAAACGTTACGTTGCGAAATTCGAGTATCGCTAATAACAGATATGCTAACGGATTCAATTTGCAAAACGAGCGTGACAGCGGAGCTCAAACGGACTTAATTAAGCGGAACTGCATCTCTCTCTCTCTCTCTCTCTCTCTCTTTCTTTAAACACGTCAGCAAAGCAGCTTTGTCTCGCGGCTTATTCCGCGCTCTTTGACCAACCTTGCCAAAGACTCTCGGCAATTACGCGAGTCTCATTGCCGGAAACTTCGCGCCGCGTATTTGCGAGTTATTCTTCGCAAGCTTTGCGCCGAAGAA